TATCGCAAAACCATCTCCACGGGGGCAACTTGGACTCTTTTTTAGATTCAAAAAAGAACCAATTTTGGGAGACCTTTAATTTTGGAGCCAATTTTATATTGTTCAAAACAATGCCTGGCAAGAGTTTATTCTTGATTTTTTAGAAATTTTTAANTGCAAGACCCATAATGTTTTTCCTTCGAGGTTAAGGTAAGGATTCTCTGGCGGCGAAGTTAATTGGTTTTTGGCATTACAACCAAAATTTCCAGATCAATTTTTCTTGGCGAGCCATTATTCCGCCAGTTCGGAATGATCCCAATTCAGACCTGGGGAGTCGATAAGAGATATTTTAAAAATACCATTTCTCATAAACTTTGTTCAGCGGGTCTTGTATCATCTTTAATACAAATCCTTAGTAACGCAGAGTTTTCACTTAGAAGGACTAAATCATGAAGTTTATCTAAATGGAGTACCTCATAGTTCGAAGAATCTGTAATATCATACTTCAAGAAAGCATCCTTAACTGTATTAGCGACATCGCATCTTATAGCATGAACCTCCTCGATACATTGGTTTTTTTTTGGTTCTAAAATCTCACAGAAAACATTTGTACATGGCAATTGATCTTCTGGCAACAATTTCTTTTTTAACAATGAGTTACAGAAATTAGATTTCCCAGTATTTACATCACCAGTAATAAAAACTTTTGAAGAAACATCATTTACTCTTCTTTGCAGTGACTTCAAATGGTTAATTGATCTTTTCAATTGAGTAGTGAACAATATAGCTAGTGCTTCTTTTGACAATTCAATGTTATTATTTGTATCAAAATTACCGTCTAATTTCACTTGTAGGTTTAAGACGTTTAATTTTATTGTTTTTGGGTCATCCTCAGGGATATGTATAGGTCTAGATTCGTTTTCTTCCTTGATAAAGTCTAATAATTCGATGATTTGTAAAATAGATCTGTCTAGGGTCTTTCTATTATTGTTGTAAGTCCATTGACTTAACTGAGCTGATGCTGCCGTTCTATTACTTGCTAGTTCATCCTTCGTCACCATCTTACTATTCAGGTTAAGTTCAAATTTATTATTATCTTTTTCCAAATCATTAATAAAGGTAGTCTCTGTAGGGATGTCATTGTAATATTCATCAAAATTATCATCATCATCTTCTTCGCTATAGATAGGAGGAATAGGATGCGAACTAGTTACAGCTTCTTGTAAAGGTAAACCATTCTTTACAGCTTCATCAGCTGTACTCATATTATCATTACTACTTGTAGTTTCAGTAGGTGAGAATTGAAATCCATAACTCTCAGAATCATTACTGTCAGAAGTAGGACTAGGCATAATTTAAACAATATAACATGAAAAGGTATACTACTTGACCTTGATCCTCTTAATTTATATTGATAAGGACGATCTACAGCAATTCAATAGGTCTAATTTAAATACAACTAGTGATTATCAAGTTAGATAGTGTTTTGATGGTTGTTTAAACATCACCATGTTATTTTTTACATCAACGAGCCCCATTAACTCATTTCGGAAATCTACCGAGAAACACATGTAGAAAA